CGTATGAAGAGATTAATGGTGTTCATATGTTATCTTCTTGCTTCATTAAATAATACAAAAATTAACTCTTTTAAGTTCGACCTTGCATTCTATTTAGATTCGGTAGGTACAAGTAATGAAGGCCTAAATACAATGGCAAACCTTGGAGCAACCACAACATCAAGAGCAGTAGATCGTAAAAAGAAGCAAGTTGCAGATGAACATAATAAATATGTAGAGGATGCACTTACAAAATATTCAAAAAGTGCATTCATGTTAAATGTTGATGATTATCATAACATTCACATCCCGAAACAACATGATACTACTACTACATCTTGGGCGGCACATATGGCGACTATTGTAACAAATCCATGTCCCAACATGTTAGCAATACCACGTAACGGGGCATTGAATCCAAAAATCTTTGACGATGAGTTGATTATGAAACATCTTGATTACCGATTTATCACAAATCTTGGTGTCTCTTATAATGATCGCATGCAAGACTATATAGGTAACGAATGTTCTGATGATGAGCTCATGGAAAGACTAACATTGCATAGTTACAATGATAGGTTAGTGGAAAAAAAGACCGATCGACATGTACAGAATGCTATCCTCTTCGATTTTGTTGAAAGCAATTTGAAAGGTGTGGAAGATTACACAAAAGCTCTCCAAATCGTACACGATCAAGAACCAATGCAAGCATATCTTTCTAATTACGCAATTCCCATTGTTGCAGACTGGCCTGGTCAATTTTTCATTCGTAAAGCTATTGTACATCAGCTTAACAACAACGAGACTATTCCTTCATTCATTACAGCATTTTTACCTATTATGGGCCCTCTCCATGTATCTTTAAACGGTCGTGAACTCGTATTTAAGGAAAATTCGTTTTTATTTAATGATATTTATAAAGGACTATTTGGAAATCGTAAGGATCTTGGTAAGAAGCCATGGCCATGGCGAATTGATTTAATTCTTCACATCATGCGCATGGCATGGCTTGATATAGATGATATTGTTTATTCTAAGTTTGGTCGTACATGTAAAAACATTGAATTTTTATACTTAACCGATCTTTTGAGCAATTTAATCCCTTTAGTTCTTGACGTTTACGCGGTGCACCATCGAGAAGGTAACTGGCTGGCTTATGAGGAAGCTTGTATGCGTTGCTGGAGTGATCTTTTTCTTCGGTTTGATAGAAGAAATTATAAGCGTGCACC